CGAGAGTGGGCGAGCAGCCGCAGCGGCCCGAAACCCTAAACCCTAAACCCTCGAGCCAAACCCTCGACTTGAAAACTCGAAAATGAATTCCCCCCGGCGTTCCGAAATGCTGGTGCTGCGCACATGTCGCGAGGTGTCTGTACACCGCAGCACTTGCAGCCGCGTGCGCGACGGCTTCCCCGCCAGCTGCCCCGTGCTGGCGGCGACGCCGCAGCAGCAGCAGCAGCAGCAGCAGCAGCTGCAGCAGCAGCAGCAGCAGGGCCGCTGCGAAGGCTGCGTGGCCCCCCGCAGACGCATTGGCTTCGTGCCCACCATGGGGGGCCTCCACTGGGGTCACTTGTCCCTCATAAGGGCTGCAGAGCGCCACTGCGACGAAGTTTGGGTTTCTATTTTTTTAAATCCAACTCAGTTTCAATCCCAAGAGGACTTCGACACATATCCAATTAAACTTGAAGAGGATTTGCAGCTCCTCACGACTCAAACAAATGCCCAAGTCCTTTTCCTCCCCGAGGCCTCCGAAATGTACCCTCACCTCGCCCGCAGAAGGGGGGCCCCCAAGGGGGCCCCCGCGGGGGCCCCCCCGGTGGGGGCCCCCGGGCAGGGGGGGCCCCCCGGGGGGGCCCCCGCGGCGCGGGGGCCCCCCGTGGGGGCCCCCGCGCAGCGCGGGGGGGCCCCCTTTGCCGAGCTGGTGGTGGACTTTGACGGAATTGAAGAAGTGGAGGGAGAGGGAAAGAGACGGCCGGGTTTCTTTCGGGGTAAGGCGAGGAGGAGCTGCGCATACACCCCAGCGGATCTGGGGTGTACGTACACCTGAATGCAGCGCTTTCCGGCACTGTTTGGAAACTCTTCCCGGGCCCATTGAGCGCTTAAGCAGCAGATAATTTTGTTTTAAATGCATTTATTTTTCTTTTTTAAAGGATTTAATGCCAATTTCTCCCGAAAAGAAAGCGAAAAGATTCTCAGCGCTCTGCGCCTCCAGCCGCCCGGGTGTACGTACACCTGCGCGGCGGCTGGGGAGGCGGGGAAGAAATAAATGTCCGAAAAGATAGAAGGGAATTCAAAATTAAATAATTAATATAAATTAAATAAATGGCATAAAGTTGAAGTAAAAGTAAATTTAAATGCTGCGGGTGCAGCAAGTTGAGTTAAAAATAAAATAAAAGACAGAGTGCAGCGAATTGAATTAAAAATGAAATAAAAAGTCTGCGAGTGCAGCAAATTGAATTTAAATGAAATAAAGGCTGCGGGTGCAGCAAAAAGAATTAAAAATGAAATAAGGGAATGCGGGTGCAGCAAAATGAGTTTGAAGCAAAGGCAAAAGTGCTGCTGCTGCTGCAGCATCAAAAGCAAACTGCTGCTGTTGCTGCTGCGCAGGAGTTGGCCAAGTAGTGCTGAAGCTGCTGAGTCTCGTGAGGCCAACTTTAATTTATTTCGGCCAAAAAGATTTTCTGCAAACAGTTTGCATGCGCAGTTTAGTTAGCTCCGGGTGTATAGACACCCGAGTGGTCCTCTGCCCCACAGCCAGGGGCCCCCAGGGCCTCCCTTTTGCTTCCCGCAACAAAAGGCTGACGCAGCAGCAGCTCGAAAAGGCCCAGGAGGCCTGCGCTGTGCTCCGCGAAGTGAGCTGCTGCTGCTGCTGCTGCTGCTGCTGCTGCTGCTGCTGTGGCGTTTGCCTGCTGCTGCTGCTGCGTCTTGTGCTGTGCGCTGTGCTTCCGGCTGCAGCTGCTGCTTCTTGTGCTGTGCGAGCTGCTTGCTGCTGCTGCTGCTTCTTGTGCTGTGCGAGGTGCTTGCTGCTGCTGCTGCTGTTTGTGCTGTGCGAGGTGCTTGCTGCTGCTGCTGCTGCTTGTGCTGTGCGTTGCGCCTGCTGCTGCTGCTGCCTGTGCTGTACGATGTGGCTGCTGCTGCTGCTGTTTGTGCTGTGCTTTTTGTGCTGCGCTACTTGCTGCTGCTGCTTCTGGTGCTGCGCAACATGCTGCTGCTGCTGCTTCTGGTGCTGCGGGACGTGCTGCTGCTGCCGCTTTTTGTGCTGTTTGACGTGCCTGTTCCTGCTGCTGCTGCTTGTGCTGCGCGAGCTGCTGCTGCTGCTGCTGCTGTTGCTGCGCCAACTCACCAGCCGTGGCTGCTGCGGTGTACGTACAGGTCGAGGCCCTCTACAATAAAGGCACTCGACAAATCGGGGCCCTCAGAGCAGCAGCAGCAGCAGCAGCAGAACGGGTTGGGGCGCATTTGGAGTACCTCGCCTTCAACAGGCAAGCAGACGGGGCCCCAATAGTGCCCTTGGGGGCCCCCCGGGGGGCCCCCCGGCGGGCCAGCGAGGGGGCCCCAGGGGGCACCCCTAATGAGGACCCCACGGGGGGCCCCACAGGGGCCCCCAAGGGGGCCCCCTGTGGAGCCCCTGAGGGGGCCCCACAGGCGGATGAGGGCTCTTTGCCGGAAAATGACCAAATATGTGTGGCTGTGGCCATAAGGATGTCCCCGGGGTGTTCCATAGTAGACAATTTTGTGCTTTCGGACACCCACAAGTAAGAATTAAAATTAAAATCAGAATCAAAATTAAAACTAAAATTAAAAACTAGAAGTTTTTCCACTAACAGGGAGCCCCAGCAGCTGCAGCAGATCTGCATCTGCGTTCGCCCGCAAGCGCCAGCCCGAATTGAGGTGTACGTACACCTGAGGTGTACGTACACCTGAGGTGTACGTACACCCGAGGTGTACGTACACCCGAGGTGTACGTACACCCCACGCAGTGCTGCGGTGTATCTGCAGGTTCGGAGATCTGCTGCCGCCGGTGCCCAACAGCGCCGAGGCGGTGCCAAGTGCTGCTGCAGCTTTGCTGCCTCTGCATGCGGCCCCCTGCGTGCTGCTGCTGCGGTCCTTGTCCCTGCTGCTGCTGCAGAAGAGCCCGCCCGCAGCAGCAGCAGCAGCAGCAGCAGCAGCAGAGTGGGCGCAGACAGTGGAGGAGCTGGAGGCCCTGGAGCTGTTGGACCCCGTCGTCTCGAGCCTGAGCTCTGCAGCAAGACACAAGGCCTGGCCGTGGGCCTCTGCTGCTGCTGCTGCTGCTGCTGCTGCTGCAGCGCCGAGCAGCTACTTCCTGCTGCGGCGGCTGCGGTGTACAGACAGCCCCGGAGAGCTCGTTGCTTATTTGGCATTCACTAAAGTCCAAAATAAATCCATTTGCATTCAGCGAATCTTTGTGGCCCCGAGAGAGAGGCGAAAAGGAATTGCGGAGGCCTTCTTCTGCACATGCATGCTGCTGCTGCAGCAGCAGCAGCAGCAGCAGCAGCAGCAGCAGCAGCAGCAGGCTTCAAACGAGCAGCAGGTGACGTGCGTCGTGCCCCAACTGGCTCTCAAGGTTATGGAAAAATGCTTTGGGTTCACCCCTCAGGGGGGCCCCCACCAAGGGGGCCCCCACCAGGGGGGCCCCCACGAAGGGGGCCCCCCCACAGTGGCTCTCTCTCTGGAGCTGAATGCCTTAGCGCAGCGCCTCCTGAGGCCCTAGGGGCCCCCCGAGGGGCCCCCCTAGAGGGGCCCCCGGGAGCAGTCCCCAGAGGGGCCCCCCAGAGAAGAGGGGCCCCCAGAGGGAGGCCTCTAGAGGGGCCCCCTGGAGAGGCCTCAGGAGGGGCCCCCCCAAGGGTCCAGGGGCCCTTCAACTGGGGGCCCCCAACAAGCCTTTTTGTTGCTGCTATTTTGGCCACTCCGTTTGCTGCAGCCAACTACTGAGGCAACCCCTTTTGTAGGATCCAAAAGGGGGCCCCTAGAAGGGGGCATCCAGGGAGGGGCCCCTAGCAGGGGCCCCCACAAGGAGGCCCCTAGGGGGCCCTCAGGGGGCCCCCCAGAAGGGGGCCCCCCTGGGGGGCCCCCTATTTGAAGGTCCCTAAGTTTCAATTTGTGGGGTTGTTCCTTCCCACAGAGTCTCAGGACGCGTGAGGGTCCCAAAAGAGAGTTTTATTCTTGTGATGTTGAAGTTGCTGCGTCGCCGCGAAACCCTAAACCCTAAACCCTAAACCCTAAACCCTAAACCCTAAACCCTAGTGAGCGTCAGCCCCCCGCATCTTACGCAACAAACATATTAAGTTGGGGCCCGCGAGGGCCCTTAGAGAGGGACAAAGACGTGCGATGCCTGGCAGCCACAGGTGGCAGCAGCAGCACCTTTTGCTGCTGCTGCTGCCGCAGCAGCAGCAGCAACAGGTGCTGCTGCTGCTGCCAAGGGGCCCACAGGCCCCCCTGGGGCCCTAAGCAGGGGCCCCCCTCTCCTGACGAGGGCCCCCCTGCAGTTTACTTAGCTTTAAACAGCCAGCCAGCTCTGCTGCTGAGCAGCAGCAGCAGCAGCAGCAGCAGCAACAGCTGCAGCAGCAGCCGCCCCATTGTGAGGCAAGAGGCAGCTTGGCAGCAGCAGTTGCTGCACCAGCTGCCGCAGCAGCAGCAGCTGCTGCATCAACTGCTGCAGCAGCAGCAGCAGCAGCTCCACCCTTCGCATCAGCTCCCTCAGGTGTACGTACACTGCACGTCAGCGATGCACTTCAAGCAGCAATCCGCACAAAAGGCCCTGCAGAGGGGCCCCTAGGGGGCCCCCCGGGGGGCCCCTAGGAGGCCCCCTCGGGGGCCCCTATGGGGCCCCCTCGGGGGCCCCTGTAGTCGCTAGGGGCCCCTTAGGGGCCCCTTTGGGGCCCCCTGTGAGCCCCGTGGGGCCCCACAAAAGGCGACATCGAGGCCCCCGGGGGCCCCCCTCGGGGCCCCCCGGGGCCCCCTTTGGGGCCCCCGGGGGCCCCTGGACCCCCGAAACGCCGCCTAGAGGGTCCTGGGGGCCCCCCCCTTGCATGCAGGGTGCGTCACCAGGGGTTGAAGCCCCTGGAGCCGCGGGGGCCCCCCTGGCCCCAAGAGGGGCCCCCCGAGGGGCCCCAGGAGGAGGCCCCCTGCCCCCAGGCCGGGGGGCCCCCGGGGCCCCACCCGGGGGGGCCCCCCCCCCAAGAGGGGGGCCCCCGAGGCCGCTGCAGCTCCAAATGGATTTGCTTTCCTTCAATTCTGCGGCCGTCGAAAGTTTCGACAGCTCTGCGAGCATCAGCGAGAGTGCGGAAGACGCAGCCGCCGGTGCCCTGCAGCAGCAGCAGCAGCAGCAGCAGCAGCAGCAGCAGCAGCAGGGGCGCAGGCGGTTGGTGCGCGCTCGTTGCGGCCGCGGCCGCGGCCAAAACGAGCGCGGCAGCAGCAGCAGGTGCAGCAGCAGCAGCAACTGCAGCAGCGGGAAGTGCAGCAGCTGGCGGCAGCACGAGCAGGCGCTGCAGCAGCAGACGCGAAAGCAGGAACAGCAGCAGCAGCAGCAGCAGCAGCAGCAGCAGCAGCAACGGGAAGACTGGCTTGCTGCTGCACAGAACAGCTGACACACACACGAGCTCGTCCACGGGCAAATGATAAACCAAATAAACAATAATAAATAGTAAATAATAAATAGTAAATAATAAATAATAAATAATAAATAAAAAATAAATAATAAATAATAAATAAATAATAAATAATAAATAAACAATAATAAATAATAATAAATGATAAATAATAACTAATAAGCCGTCAAAGCCACCTGCTGCTTTGCTGCGCTGCTGGGAATTCGCTGCAGCAGCAGCAGCGGCAGCAACAGCAGCCACAGGAGCAGCAGCAGCAAGATCATCAACAGCAGCAGCAAAACCACCAGCAGCAGCAAGAGCAGCAGCAGCAAGACCATCACCATCCGCAGCAAGACCAGCAGCAGCAGCAGCAGCAGCAGCAAGACCATCACCATCCGCAGCACGCCCATCACCAGCAGCAGCAGCAGCAGCAGCAGCAGCAACAGCAAGCCCATCACCATCCGCAGCAAGCCCATCACCATCCGCAGCAAGCCCATCACCACCATCAGCAGCAGCAGCAGCAGCAGCAGCAACAGCAAGCCCATCACCATCCGCAGCAAGCCCATCACCACCATCAGCACCACCATCAGCAGCAGCAGCAGCAGCAGCAGCAGCAGCAGCAGCAGCAGCAGCAGCAGCAGCAGCAGCAGCGCACGTGGCTCCTGTCAGTCCGATCGTAGTCAATCCAAACCTTGTTGAGGCCCCCGTTGGCCTCCATGAGTTCTCGAAGGTCACTTTCCAAGACGGAATAGTCGAGGCCACTAATGCGCACAACAGCGCTGCGGCTGGG